ACAGCTTTTTTATCTTCTTTTCAAGGATTCAGAAGCTCTAACTTCGACCTAATTCTTATGAGAGTTCAATCAAGACTTCATTCCCCGAGTCTTGTCGACATTTCCTTTCAACTTGTTGGAACCATCATTCATTTTCCATGACTGAACTTGCAGTGTCTTTATCGAGTCCTGAACTCCTTTCCTTTCGACAATCATCATCTCATGCACCTCCAACAAACCAACCAAATCTTCCATTTTTAGGGTTTCAAGATTGTCAGATTCTTGAATAGCTACGATAACGTGATCAAAGTGAGAGGCCAATGTTCTCATTACCTTCTCAACTATCATCTTATCAGTTATGGTTTCACCACAACCCTTCATGAGATGGACGAGTTTCTGAATCTTTGACACATATTCTACAACTTTTTTGTCTTCTCCCGACGACAACAACTCATATTGTTGATGCAAGGTTTTCAACTTGACAACCTTGACTTCTCACCTCCTTCATAATACTTCACTAGAATATCTCATGCCTCTTTCGTCGTTTCAGCATGAGAAATTATGTCGAAGTTAGTAGAATTGACCGCCTCTGAATGTAATAAGCAGCCTTGCAATCTTTCTTCTTGACTTCGTTGTGGACTTTTTCTGCTCTTCGGTTGCATTTGCAGCCAACACATGAACGTCGTCGCTAACCACTTCTAGGATTTTATGGAAGCCAAATAAGGATTGCATTTGTTTTTTCCATCGGATCTAATTTTTGCCGTCAAGCATTAAAAGAGAATTCAGAATGCCCTTATCACTAGCCATCTTTGCATCGGTTGATTCACTTGCCCTAGAAACACGATCTCTGACGTGAAATTCTTGAAAACTTGATCAAGAAAAATAACCGGAAGTTCTGAATACCAATTTGTTAGTGCGTGAGACACTTTTAGTGATGAGAGAAAAAGAGAATAATAAAGGAAATAAAGATTATATTATTCACTTGTTACAAATAATGATACAGAATATGTATTTTATATACAACCCTAATTGGAGTTGAGCTAATACAACTTGGATTATATTTAAATATCAAATCAAATCAAATCTAATTTAATATTTCAACAAATCTTAAGCTATCAAATTTATTAGAATTATTATTTATTTTATTTAAAATATAAATTAAATAAAAAAGATCAAATATTATAATTAACCTTAAAATATCAAATATTTAGTTTATTATTGATTTTTATTGTTATAGAAAAAATATTTAGAGACTGGGTGGGTAGTCAGTTGTGCTCCGGGGATGGGCGGTCAATTATTCCCCGACTAGATTTAGGGGTGTGGTTGATAATACTTAAACCTATCGCATTTGATATATTACTATTAGAGTTTGACGTAATTCATATGTATAATACCAACTTATAAGGTAGAAGGTGTCACACTATATAAACTCTTTTAAAACTCTATCTTCAACCAATATAAAACTTAAGATCTTTCCACTAATCACAATTTTCGATCAATGAGACTTTTACTCGCATTTGATACATCACAAATTTCACACCATCAATAAGACTTCTACTTGCATTCGATACATCATAAATTTCACACCGCAAACAATTTTGGCCATTTATTTGATAGGGGGAAATACACTCACCTCTCCTGAGGTCTGTTAAAATGACACTAACACTCACTCTAATTTGTAAGTATGTATTGACCTCCCCTGAGATCTATTAAAATGACACCGACACCCTCTATAGTTTTTAGTGACAGTAAAAAATCGTAGATATATATGACATTTATTTACAGTTTTTGATCTGTCACTACAACTTTCTGTTGGTATATGTATACTTAGGGGAGATCAGTGCATTATTTAAAATTAGATGGAGTGTCACTGTCTTTTAACAAATCTCAGGGAAAGTGAGTGTAATTTTTCCTATTTGATATTATAACCGATTTCGAACGTGGTACGGCCAAGACTCGGTCCAGCATTTAGTTCAAATCCACCTTTCATTTTAAAAAGGCTGAACCTACAATATTTTTTCTGAGTCTTTAGTTATAGACCAAAACTTGAAAATAACAGTAACTAATCTCCAAGACATGCAATGAACTGTTATTTTCAATCTTGGCATTTTCCTCTCCAACAGAAAAACAATGGCATGCCATAATTTGTCACATAGCCTAGTAACTATGTTATTTGAATTCAATGGAAAAACCAATTGCATATCATGAAAATTTTAGTAAGAAAAATTCATTTTAGTCAGAAACTTTGAGAAGATATTAATAAGAAATTAAGGAAGGTTTAAAAAATTGTTGAACCTTCATAATGGTATTCGTGTTTTGCATGGTTAAATAAAACATAAAAAATTGGCAGCAACAACATGATTGAGTTAGAATAGACAAAAGGGGAGACAAATTGAAAACTACATCAACTCAGGATTGTTGTCAATGTCACCCCCCAGAACTGTCTCAGATGTATGAGACAAGTTTCAATGTATGATGCTTTTAGTGATATCAAACTCGTGACATTCATTTTGTACCATTGCATACATATTCTTATTCTTTCTGTCTTATCGGTTATATGTTGTATATTAAATTGAATGAAAGAATATACATGGAATCTTTCAGATATATTTCATTCTCATTCTGCACTCTTTTATCTTATAGTGTAATATAATATGCCCCCACTTTCATTTTTCAACGTTGGATAAGAGGAAAGAAAGTTATATTAAGTTTGCGAAAGATGATATCAAAGGCTTTTGAATTATTATTTTTCTATATGTTTTTTTAATGGTAAAATATATTTATATAATAAAAAGTTGTATTTTCTTTTAAAGAAATATAGAAAATTGTATTTGTTTATAAGAGGATAAATTTTACCTAAAAAATAAATTTTAAACAGGAGTTTAAATTTTACTAATTTAAAATGCGAGATTTTGAAATTTGTTATAACCCATGTGTAGGTTAGGCGGTCCTGATTAAAATGTGAAGATACCTTTCATCGTTGTTTTTCTAAGTTGTTTTTAATTTCAAATCAGCTACCTCTAAACATTGCTAGCAAAGATTACTAGATTGGGAACATGTGAGTTTGGATGCTCACGTAGAGAGAGAATTTTGTTTGAATTGGTTCTGAGATAAAAATCTGTATGATTCAAAAAAAATAATCATGGTTTGATTCAATTTTGAGTTAATAATTAAAACAATCTAATCTGATTCGATTTCATATTATTTAGTTTGAATCAATTTTCGAATATTCAAATTATAACTTATAAATGTTTTTTACTATAATTAATATCATAAAAATGTCTTAAAATAGTAATATTACAGAAAAATAACAATCGAGTATGTGTTACACAAGAGAAATAGTAAAAAAAAAAATTAATTTAATTAATAAATAGTATTTAAATTGTCTTGTCAAAAAGTATAAGAGTTTGTGGTACTCCTAAGATGATAGAGGTGACCAAAGGCATTGTATTTTTTTGGTGATTAGAGTTTGTCTACGGTGATAAGAAGTCTTGTTTGATGGTCTTTAAGGTGATGAGAGAACAAGCTCACGCGAGATGAGAAGCTTTGTGACTTTTAGAGATGTATCATGTATATTTACATCTATCTCCTCAATTGTTAGGGGCGAGATATTTAAAGAGGCTCTTTGGTCTAGGATTTTCTTGAAAATTATAATCACTATCTTAGTCGGTGATGGAGCGTTGAATCTCTATTTTTTAAGGAGACGTGGATCAGCTTATTGACCATGACCTTCCTTTGACCGATAAACTTCTTTTCACATATTTCTTCTGACTGGACAAATAGAGAATGCTTAGGGCGAGATGACCCCTAATAGTGGGCGACATATGGGGGTTGCCTCTCCTTGAAGCTGCAACTCTCCCACCATTACTAAGATTTTTAACAATATATCACTACAAAATAAATTAAACAAATGAATAATAGATTAATATAATGTATCATACTAATAAACAATAATTTAGTAATAAAATATTTTTATCTTATTTGATTTGCTTTGATTAAATTTTAAAAAACTATATCAAAAATCTGAACCAATCCGAGTGCTTTATAAAATGGTATTCAAATATATCTAATAATATTTGATTTTGTGTGATTTTTTTATTTTTTAAGATTGATTTACGATTTTTATTTAGATTATTTTGGATTTCAACATTCTTACTTTGTGGTTCTGTGGTGTGGTTGATTTTAAAATTATAATTTAATGTTGTTTTCCTAATAAAATCGTGAATATTGAGAAATTGGTGGATGAAATTATATATTCTCTTTTTGAAAATGAGATTTTTGGGTAAGTATTCCAAGTGTCTTTGTAATTTCTACACTTGACGAATGTAATTCTAAGAGTGCATCAAAACTCAGTGTGTAGTCTAACTAGCTAGTTGTGTGTGTTTATTATACTAGTTTGTTAGGTGGATGAAAGTTAGTTAAGAGTATCTAACATTACTAGTTTACTTGCTCATCAAGGAAATCAGTAAGGGAGTGGTATTTTGAGCTATAGAACCATATTTCCTATTGTATTAGTAATCATCAAACTTAATGGCTACAATAACAACTGAACATGATTCTTGTACATAAACAGACAGAGGCCTTGGCTATGTGATCATGAAAAGATAGTTAACATTAACAATGATAAGATGGAGTTGTTTACAACTGAGGTGCGAGCTTAATGCGTGCAAAAACAGGGATAGGGAGTACAAATATGGTGTTGTGGGTGTAGATGGTGTTTTACATGAATCCATAAAACAATCATCTAAAGATTTCAGTTCTATTTAATTTGTAAACCATCATTTCTCAGAAAATATTGTTATTTAACTATTTAATCACACTTGGTATGGCTATTTGTAAAATCGAATACATGCTAAGAAAATGCTAACATGGCTATTTGATCACATTGGTATGCTGTTTTCTTGGTACACACTCAACATGAACTGCAATGCTTAGAAAGTACTATGTATATCACCTGTTAATATCAGATATATGCCTTATGCCCGGGAACTAAAAATTGTTAGTCTTGAGTTCTTTTATCATTACTTACCCTCCTCAGTTTGAGAGAACATTCTTTTCAGGACCTCGTTCTCCTTTCTTAGTTTCATGATTTTCTGCTTAAGTGTTTCCACCTGCCAATTTGATGTCATTTCTTGTTGTTGATCAACCATCTTTGCTTTAAAAAGCAGCACTGCAGTGAACACAAAAAAAAAATCCCACTAACTTTATAAGGTGGCAGGATATGAAAATGCTCAAACAAAACAATAATTTGGCTTTATGCAAGAGTAATTGCTACTCCCTCTAGTCATTATTATAAGTAAATATTCTCTTTTTAAATTCATTGAGTAATGAATGTATCCGATCTACATAAAAGACCAGATACATTCATTATTCAATGAATCTAAAAAGAGAATATTTGCTTATAATAATGGCCAGCGGAAGTATGAATTTAGTGGCTTACATTCTTTTTCCAAATTTTGCATTTTTCTGTTTGAGTCATTTTTCTCTTCCTGTTCAGCCATAAGGCAATCTTTCAAATCCCGGATTTCAGAACTATCTGGCGGTCCATGATGAACAAAAGAAACAAATTTTCAACCAATAAAGATATATTACAACCTTGTGTTGATTAAAGTTGATTCTTGTAAAGGTAAATTATATAATGAAGTGCCTCACATTTTGATTCCACTTCAAAATGGATTTGGTCCAACCGGTTTGATAGAACTTGCATATGATTTTTATGGGCTGCTATATCTCCATTAAGTTGACTTATGGTTGCTTCATATGCTGCTTTCTCTTGTAGTGATTCCCTAATGAAAAGTGAGATCAATATGTTAGATAGTTAGATCTTGAGCTTAAAAAATCAAAACTATTTCCATACAGTAAATTTGACACAAACTCAATTTCATTCAAACCCTTAAAATCATAATTTAAGCAGATTTTGTACAAGCCTCCAATACTCAAGCACGAGATCTTAAGTAGGATCAATCGGCTTGTGAAAGATCGTAAAACTCGGATCGTTAGCTCAGCACGGAAGATCCTACCAAAGAGAAAAGGGTAATTTCATACATACACATACGCACGCATACATGAAAATCATAATACAGACCCAAAAAAATACTCAACACGTTCTTTTTACAATCTTGCTTCAAAAAGCTCCATCTTAACCACACCGGCGACGAAAACAATCTTTCTCTGATTGTAGAACTCTCAAACATCCTTGGCACATAAGATCTTACGATCTTACAATGCAACACTCGATTTTGACTATACTGCACGCATACTGGTACATCCTCTATTATGTTAAGGACATTGATTCCACTTTAATTAGACACACTTCACCTCTATTATGTAAAAATAGAAGTGTGTCCACTTTCATTGAAACACAAAAAGTTACCTAAATACTCCTTACATAATTCATACATAACTAACTCGAAAATTTCAAAATTCACACTGAATTTCCAATATGCCATCATAAGAAACAAAACATAAGTTTCAGCAGCAGAAATATTCATACAACCATGAATACTCACTTAAGTTTCGCTTCTAAACTAGCAATTTTTCCATCATATTCTTCCTCAAGCAATTTCAAAGCCCTCCTATGTCCCTGCTCCAAAAAAAAAAAAAGAAATCAATAATTAACAAGGCAATTTTCTATCTTTCACCTTCAATTTACAAAACTCACATCTTCTTTAGCAATAACTTCATTCTTCGATCTTTCAAGCTCTTCTTTGAAATTCATACATTTCGCTCGAAAATCAAGCTGTATAACAATTAATCAAATCAAATTAACAAACACAACAACGACACACTATTCCAAATTCCGACTGATTGAAGAACCTGGTCAGCCACATTCTTCAAGGACTCTGAATACAGTTTCGCCAATTCTTCATTTTCTGAAACTTTGCAAAACTAAATTTAGCAAATTGAAATACTGCATCTACGAATTCAAATAATTTTATCCATATTGATCGAACCTTTTTTGAGGTTATTGCAAGTGATTTGGAGCGATTCTCGCAATTTTAACTCTGAACTGTGTTTGGATTGCAGTGACTGGAATTCCGAAATGCTAATCTTTACATCCTGAATCATTCTATCGCCGATGATCATGAAAAATTGACGGGAAAAATCAACGAATTAGGGTTTAGTGTTGGTTAGGGTTTTGAATACCTCGTGGATCTGATTGAAAGCTGAGAGAAGTGAGTCCATTTCTTCGTCACTCGTTGCCGCCATTTTTCTCTTTTTTGAAAACTAAAAAATTCTCATAACTTGTGCAAGTGATTGTTCATTTGTTATAAATGAGAATGTTCTCCGGAATCGAAAATGTGTTTTTGAAATCCATCAATATTTAATTAAAAATAATTAAAATCAGAAATATTTTTTCGATTTATAATCGAAAATGTATTTTCAGTATTATTTATCAGAGAATGCAAGAAAACAATAATTATACCTTACATCAAAATTCTCAAACAAGACATAAAATTACATAAAATAAACAATTCATATATATGTGTGTGTGTGTGACATTACACTTCAACATTCGAGTGGACGTTGCAATAACTTTAGAACTTCATCGACCGTTCTTGTAATCATCACATTAAGTTTGATTTGAACTTTTTTCGTCGTAATCGAAAAAGGTTTCCCACATAGTCCATAAATCAGTGTTTGTCTTTATCTCTTTGTTGATGAACTCAAGCTTTCTGTCGTTGTTAATGGATGGAGAGCGGTACTCAATCTTCAAAATTTTCCGATTGTCGCCATATGATAAAAATATAATAGATTTCATAACTACCAAAATGGAAATATTCCACGTCATAATTCATAAACAAAAAGACATATACATCAAAGTCATATTTAACTACTTAAAAGATTCGAAGTAATTGTCTCCCGACAAATCCACATGTGGTACACCCTTTGACTTTTCCTTGTTTTTTGCAATTTCAATATTCTTAAACTTGTTGTACTCTTGCATCCTTTCAATAGATTGGTCGGACCAAGTCTCGGATTGGTTTGTATAATGATTCGTCCATTCCGGTGATGTAGTTGGTATAAGGCGTCTCGATTTCAAATACACTTGAACAAAATGTCGGAGATTTGAAACCCACCTAACACAAATGATATGATTAGTGGGACTAGCTGTTGGAGCAGTGTGTAATGGGAAAAAAAGTTTCCGAAAAACTGTATCTTGTAAGATTAATACACACCCTCTCAAACGCACTTGCAATGAGAAGACCCATCTCATAGAAACGCATCCATTTGTTCTCTGGTGCAAATGCTTCCATGGATGGTACAAGAGCGTTATAGATTTCTACAACCTTGTTCTTATTCTTGTACACCCGTATGTACAAACCTCTACGGCTCCTCAACTCTTGGATAAGAGTTTGGTGGATAAGTGTGTGATCATCTTCCCCTTTACCGAGTAAAGTAGAAATAGCCTGAAAACCACAATTACTGTCACCATCAACATTGATGATCCAATTAATGTGATTGTGCATAAAAACCGTCATTTTCTCAATGAATGGTATTTTTGGTGAAGACAGTGGAGTTGGAGGTTTGCTTATGCGAGCACCTTTGAAGACTTTTTTCTGAGATTTCGTGTCGGTGAATCAGGAAAAAGTTTGTCAATGTGTTCAAAATACGATTGACTCCTCATAGTAGAATTTTCACTTGGTGTAGGTTTGACCTTTTTTCATGCTCCTTTTGTTTTAACCGATTGAGACGGTGGTTTCAAATCGGTGTTCTCCGAAAATACGATTTTCCTCAATTGCTCTTTGATGTGGACTTTTGTGTTGTCATCCCTTTCCTAAATATTTCTTGTGTCGCTTCCCATTCTGTCAAGATTGTGATACTTGACTTTCCCTCTTCCATTCTACTGTCGTCTTCAAAACTCAACCTCTTCCAATGACTACATACCTCGTTCATTTGTATCAGGATATCAAATTTCATCTTCTTAGATATGACACAAACACACGGAAGACCATACATTTTCATAATTGTGCAACCACACTTAGAGGTATCGGAGCCTAAGTCAGAGGCTCGTTTGGCTTCATAATAAATGAAATTAAGAGTTGATCGTGATATGTTATCAACCAACTGAGAATAGAGAAAGTTGTCTTTGAACCTGTATTTCAACACTGTGATACTACGACCAAATGATGTTTGAATTTCATTATGTTGGTTAAGTATCATTTGGTTCATTCATTCCCAACCCATACAAAAATCACCCTTGCTATTTCCTAACCAATTCTTCAGACATGCATGAGCCGACTCAACTCGGTTTATTGTTGTGTTTCCAAGATGCATTATCTGATTTGTCCTTGCACAAACAATCTTCTCCTTCACCTGATCCGAAATTGTAGTCTCAACCTATTTCAATAAATCGGGATATTTATCACACACCTTCCTGAAATGTAACAGCATCATCATATAAATCTTTGGTAGATGCATTCATGATAACATTCCAAGTAGCCATAATTTTTTCCACAACAACACCCAGCTTAACTAGTTTACCCTCTTCAATCTAAATCTGACCCTTCCTTATCGTGGGTTTCACCCGACTTCTCACATTTTTAGTAATGTGATACTTATAAAGCAATGAAGAAGAACTTGGAAACACCTTTGCAAGCGGTCGTTAATAATAACTTTCAACATGTTTTCTTAGTCCTTTAACATTGACCGACAAACCTCTAAAGCCCATGCAAAATTGTCCTATTTTTCGCACTCTATAAATACAAAACCAATGGAATATGTTATTGCAGTCGAAGTAACACCGACAATTTCCAACAACGACAATATGTACTTGTTGGTCTTGTACGTCGAATCAATTATAAGCACGATAGGAAACATATTGAACAATTTAATGGAATCAATATGAGTTATATATATATATATATATATTGTATCGTTACTCCATCCTCACATTTGCGATGCCTACAAACGTAGTTGTTATCATCTAAAAGCATCAAGAGTTATTGCATTTCGGTTCGATCCCTTCTAAGTGTCAATTTTGTTTGGTAGCACTGATTGTAAACTTGTCTGATGTTTGAAATATTCTCGGGTCTTTTGTGCTTCAATATTGCAATTATGTTTTTTGGAGCGACCAAATTTATTGTCATGTCGGACGCACATTCCTCTCTTCCGCCAAGAGGCAACATGCACTTGGATGACCGACTAACTTTACACTTAGATCATGATTATGTAAACCACTTAGGACATTAAATCTCTAATTATTATTTACCAATCGATACCCGTGTAACTTAAATGGACACTGACATTTTCTTGAACTAGTATCATCTCTTTTGAAATTCTTGATAGGTTGCCTATATATTCCACTTCTTTCGCATGTAAATGTCACAAATATAGGTCGTCTATCTGAACCACTATCAGACGTTCCTATCACAACACCAAAGTCTTGTTTTGTGGCCTCCGTACGAATCCACTGCATCATGACATCTCGAGATTCATATTCTTGTTCATTTGTAAAATGCTTCTGCATATTGACCGTCTTGATAACAATAGGTGAAACACCTTGAGACACAATAGGAGAAACACCTTGGGAAAGAATAGGCGAGACACATTGAGACACATTAGGTGAAACATTTTGAGACACAATAGCTTTGGGAATATTATCGGGATGTATCATACCTAATATGTAAAAACAGATTAAACTAAGAAATATCCTAGGAAAATAAGAAAAATGAAGTTGCTGAAAATAGTTGTTATAGGAACCGGAAGTACATTTCCGGTTAAGTTCATTTGTAAATCGGAAATATATTTCTGGTATTAACGTGATATTTTTTCCACAGAAAGAACAGATTAATGTGGTTAATGTAGATTGAAAAGAGGAAGCTTTACCTTAAATTCAGTTTCCTTTAGCTCCTTTTGATATAATGTGCCACAAGAATGCTGATTTTGAGTGAAAAATGGGATTGAGAATGTGAGGTTTTTTGGGAGTATTTTGGTCACTTTTTGAAATGAACATGATCAATATATCCCATGGACCTTGCTGTTTTAAGCTGTTGGTTTCTCAGAATAAACCGAAAATGTATATCTGGTTTATAGGTGGAAATTTTTTTGGGATTTTCCCGCACAAATATTCTAGATTTTTATCTCTGATTTCTATCGGTGTTGTATATCCGGTATGTTTCTTACATTATGGTGTAACAAAATTTTTCCTAGCTTGATGAGAGTTAGAGTGCGCCCCAGAAATATAATTCCTGGGGATATTTTTGATTTTTTAATAGGGTTATTTTTTCCTATATAGGGTTCCATAAGAAACCCTCGTTACTAATTGAGGGGTATAATCACTTATGAGTCTTGACCCATTTTTCGCTTAGGGAGTTTCTCATTACACCCTTATATCTTTTTTCAAGTTTTTGATAAAATGTCAAAAATGCTCTATATTTTTGGAGATATATCTTTGAGCGCACCAAATTTAATTTTTTTATTAAAATTTAGTTCGGACATATATTTTTGAATTTTTTAAAGATTAATTTAAAGATATATCTCCAAAAATACATCTGAAAAAACAGCATAATATTGACTCCTTCATATGTGCAGGGAGGAATATTAACTGCAAATAACTTAGGTAGACCGTTGCTAATAAGATAACCATGACTGCCACATAATTCACGGCATTCTTCAATTCCATCCTACAAATGAAAGGTTAAGTAATTTTATTTGAACTTCAAAAAAGTTCACAGCTACAAAGTGAAGAACACATATATGACACAATACAATTAAATGGTATACACACACTAAGAGAAACAAAAAATCCTAATCATTTAAAGGTAGAGAAGATTACTCATTCAATCAGTTATCTCGCAAACAAATAGATTACATGAACAAAAAATTAATGGTAAGCAAAATACAATGAAAATTCATACTATTAAGATAAAATTCTTATGTATAACTGATCTTGCAAAGTAGATAAATCAAATATGTTATGGTTAGTTGTGTTAATTTTTAATTCAACTTTTAAATTGATAACAAAGTGAATATGGGATTATATGCACAGTAAAACCCAGCAATGTCTTCAAAACATTCATGTTTCAAATAACAAAATAAATAGTATATGGTGGTAATATAAGAATGAGAAAAATTTGAATATACATCTCCGATTTTTTTTAGGTTAATTCGGAGATATATCTCCGAACTAAATTTTAACAAAAAATAAAATTTATTGCGTTCGAAGATGTATATCCAAATAAATCCAAAGATATTTTAGGATTTTC